TAGAGCGATTTCAATAGCATTTCCGACTACATTTCATCGACTTTGCATATGACACATCACATCAAAGTTGTCTGTTAAGTTACCACATTCTGCTTATAAGGAGTATTGGCGTGAATTCCAGAAAGCCATATGGGATACTAGCAATAAGTATGAGTTTGATGCAAAATGGAATATTGTGATTACAAAGGCTGGTTTGACTGACCATCCATGGCTAAGTTCAATGTTTGATTTAAGGGAATCTTGGGTTCCAGCCTACGCACGACACTTTTTTGCCGCTAGAATGTCAAGCAGTCAAAGAGCGGAATATTCTCATGGTTTCTTCAAGCAATACATATCAAGGAGAAATTCGTTGATGGATTTCGTAATAAGATTTGAGAGGGCACTTTCTCATCAACGTCAAAAAGAGTTAGTTGTTGATCACATAAATGCATTTGAAGCGGCTCAATGTATTCTACCGATGCCAATGAACAAACAAATGGCTACCTTGTACACAAGGACAATGTTTCAAAAGTTTGAGCAAGAACTAATACAAAGTACAATATGTTTCCTAGAGCTGAAAACAGAGAATGCTTCTAAAGTTGTCTTTAATGTGAGCGAAAGGAAAAATTGGGAAACAAGAGTGGCAGAAGCCGTATATGTCAAAGATTCTGACCACGCATCGTGTAGCTGCAAAAGATTTGAATTTGTTGGAATTATTTACAAGCACATCCTAGCATTGTTCAGAAGGGACCAGATTGAATATATGCCCGATAAATACATTTTGAAGAGGTGGAAGAAAACTGCGAAATTTGGATTGGTGTCAGATGCAAATGGCAACGAAATTAAAGACTCTGCAGATCCTGGTCTTTTAATAAAGCGGAGTACAATGTCCCGACTTGCTTCAGATGTGGTTGAGGATGCATTAATGTGTGAAGAAGGATGTGAGCTACTGTCAGAGACTCTAAAAAGTTTGCAGGTGAAGTTGAAGTTGTTGAAGGATGGACCAAGTAATAACGAAGTTGGAGGGTCCAGCTCTCAAACACAATATATGAAAGACCCTAAGAGAGTAAGGTGCAATGGAGGGTCGAAATAAAGAAAAAAGCAATGAAGCGAGGGATTAGACACTGTCGGGAGTGTGGACACATTGGTCATGATAGAAGACAATGCCCAAGAAATTTGAACACACCGTAAGATGTTAACACTATTTATAATAAGACCTAAAATTTGAATAGGTAAAGTTCTTATGTGCTTCTGTTTGATGTTTATGCAGGACATCACCGTCGAACAATGACGAATCAACTCCAATAGATCTTAGTGACCCATTATTTGACGAATTTTACAGGATGCACGGACCAACTCAATGATTTAGGTTTCTATTATACGAAGCCCGGTTATTATGAAGACTAATGATCAGGTGAAGTTTTCTAGATGCAGTTTTATTATTATTATTTTTTTGTTCATGTCCACCGTTGAGCTCTTACTATGTCCATTGATAATTGAAATGAAAATTTGCTTGGTTTCATTCTTGCATAAAATTTGGACACATGTTAATTTTACGTCTTCTACCTATTTAGAAATTTTCATAGACATTAGATAAAACATCAAATTTTGATTTATGTGAAGAAGCAATGACTTTTACCTTGTAAAATGGGTAGTTTATGGTGAATTATGTTTTAACAAAGATTCATTGATTATATGACAGGCTAATGCAGCATTTCCAGCAGTCAGCTGTTGTTTCTATTACCAGTAATGATTTCCAGCAGCACGCATCATTTCTAGCAGCACCTATTTTGTGCGAATGTTATGTTCTAGTGTTTTACTGGTGATTAAGATCTGAGCTGGACTGGTTATTAGGTGCACGATTTTGCAAACATTCGTAACTGAA